GGCAATACTTAAAACGGTAAATAGCCGAATCGGAGGTTTCATGACTTAAATCTCTTTTTGTTTCCAAGACTAAAAATGGATCGGCCCCTGTATGCAGAAGTCGAGGCAAGCTTTACTTAGTTCGTACAACAAGGTCCCAGGCTTGTAAAGGTCTCCTCGTGTAGTGAACACAGGCAAGTGGGTTAAAGTCAACAACTTCAAACATGTGTTGCTATACCTTAAGGTGACCTCTGCAGACATATTTGATCTAATTAATCACTGTAAAGTGTGCCACGCTGAAATAAGCGTACGTGCCGTTGTCGCAGGATTGCAGCCATCTCCTCTGCAATCTACAACGAAATGTCAACATCGATAGATAGGTAGCATTAACAAATATCATAGCTAACAAACGAAGATTATCTTTTAGCTCGCCACAAAATGTTATTTTTATTCAACTTTTTTTTATCCAACTTTTTCCCTGTAAAATGAATTACATACCCTCGTGCTTTGGCTGTAAAGCTGGTCAATTAAAGTGCATTCTGTTTAATAATTGATTTTGATAATATCATGCTGTTTAATTGTAACCTCCATGTGACATGCTCTTCGTGTCTGTGTATCTGATTTTTGTAAATTCATTGAAACATTATATTCACAGTTAAAAGTAAAAAAGTACAGTATTTAAAATGCATCTACGATGAATAAGTTATGTAAATATCAATCAAATCTAAAAATGCGATGCGAATTAAGACTCCAGTATATATGTACTGTAAAAACAAAACAACTGTCAAATTTGCTCCATAGGAATACACAGATCGCTGTGAGATAAAACTGAGCAATATGCGATTAGAACGGGATCTCATTGATCGATATCCTTGGGGGGAGTGTTTTAACCGCAAGGGCAAAGAAAAACTCATAATGCCGGATGAGTTTTGCTGCCTACATTAAGCTAGACTCTTTTCAAGACTCGAAATTAATACACATCACCAAGTGATGGGATTGGAATACATGTGGTCTTACTTGCAGTGCAAACGATCCGGCCGCGAGCGCCTCCTGCCACTGTGTCATCAATAAATGTAGCACTGCCCCGAAAGAAAATAATTCAGAGTGTCATGACACCCGTCAATGCCCAGTAGACCTTTAGTTTGCATTTTCTCAGTCAACAGTGGCGTTTATCTGTACTAAAGTGGACTTACCAATGCTTAATATCTCATTGTATCTCACAAAAACAGACCATTCCTGGAATGGCTTTTCTTTAACTTTACTTGACCTTCGCGCTCAGATCATGCACGCTTGATCTTTTATAAAACCGCAGTTATGCGCAAAACTTCTCACCCACCCAAACGGGTGACGACAACCTGAAGACTATGTCACAAAGCACTTCGGATCGACAAGACTTCATTCAGGTGTTACGAGATCTTCCCCGTAAATAAGGGAGGACAGAGAACCTCTCGAGATGCCTGAGTCAGTTATCCACCCACGAATTAACTCTTTGAAACCCGACGCTAAGTGGCTTTATTTGTTATGTACAGGGGGGACTCTCCTCCAAAATCCGGGTAATTTGTCCATGATTGGGGTCCAAATGCAGGGATTAGAGCATATAGCAAACATTGAAAGTGAGTCGTTACTTTGCAGAGATCCTACTTGGGTCCTGTTGATACGCAGCAACAGGTACGGATGCATTTTTTCCGCAAATGGGGTATAATGAAAGGGTGGATTTCCACTTCTCATGTTGGCTAAGAGGGTGAAGACGCGGTGGGGTTTTTTATCTGTTAACATTTCACGAGACTCCAAGCATATGAAACACTCAGGATCCATGTCTCGGCGTCGCCCCTACAACACCCTTGCGAACTTTAGGACGAGATCTATAAAGACTGCAAACCCTTCTTCAATAAACCCCGAAAATGTTGCAGCTGTAAGCCTCAAGCTAGCCGACGCCAAGAAAAGACCTGGGTTCCTCATTTGAAAAGATGTCCCATGCTGCTGAAGCGGACAGTCTCAAGACTTAGCAGGCAAGCTGGTAACACATCGATTTCCTGATGGAGCTCTACAGCTTAATGGCCCGCGGCAGGTGCAGGTCAGCGTGGGTTTTCAGTGGGTCGCGCTCGAGAGAGAGGAAAGAGGAGTAGTGAACCCCATCTAAGAATAGAAGTCAGATAAGCCACGTTGCATCTCACACCTCTGGTGTCTTTTTCAGAAGCTTCTGATCGGAGATCTATGCACGTCAAAGCCACTCAATTACACGAAATTACGGAATGGGCCTTTTTGCGAACCCGTTTACCCAATCTGCTTAGGGCGGTCAGTTCTCTGATCCAGTAATCAAGCGGCCAGTCAAGTCGATTCGAAGTCTTGAGGCAAAGTCTATGGAGTCGATATAGGGTCAATGCATGGTTGCCTCTAAATAAATGATGCATCACTGCGCTGATGTGACGAAGAGCATTCGATGTTGAGACAAGCAGGTGCGCACGTATCGAGCCGCATTATTGTGATGGCCTGGGGGATGCATGTTTAAAAATGTAGGTGAAAAGTTTTTATGTCATATCCTGCACGTGGGTTTACCAGTAATTTTTAATGTTGGTGGAAAGGACCAACCTATAGATAGGGCAGATGGACGCTTTACTTTCTCTCGAAATCAGACCTTCCGCCATCTGTTCTGGCGACAGCGCTTATAACAGCTTATGAAATGATTCGCTGAGTGTGACATTATCTCTGACGGTCCTCAACTGTAAAGAATCGTCATGACACTTCTAATGAAGTTCAACAGGTTGGGGGTTCATTTTCTTCGAAGAACCACTGATGAAGATATAGCTCTGAACACTGATGGAGACAATAATCAACCCTTTAACTTGCAGGCGATAATGAGTGGTATTGGACTCTTCTTAGGTGTGGAAAATCACAAGCTCTTATACCGTTAACCCTGAAGGAGCCGGGTCATTTTGGCCCCTTTCAAAGCCGAGTGGGGATGGATTCCTCACCCACCCACAAGAACTCAGCTGAACAACACTCCATTTTTCTGAGACTTGAAAATTTCTGAAAAACACTCTTTACCATTACAAAGTGAAGTTTGAAGTCAATCAAATGAATGCTTTTGTTGTTAAGGTCACTTGGAGCTCAAGGCTACATTTGCATGCAAGCCTATTTACTTTGAGCGCATACATTTTTGGCTGACCAGGCTCAGAACAGTAAAACTGGTGTCAAATGACCGCAAAATGTTACTTTAAAAATTCCTACAGCACTTTGAAAATTCCTAAAGTTTCAGCTCCTGAAAAATTCACTACGGAGATATCGAAAAAAGTCACCCCAACCGACTTTTTTAGGGTTAAGACAAATTTGGTACGAGGGAATACCAAAATGTACGGAACATTTTATTTTATCAAAACTCTACCTAGACACCAAATTACCCCCCAAAAATGCATTATATTGAATGGCAAGCACACATTCTTGCTTTTAAACGGTGTCACTAGACTTTATATCCAACCAAGTGTTAAGACTCATTGCAAAATTCACCCCAGAGAATAAAATGCTGACCCAACGCACTTCAGTTTCCCAGGTATATTTTAACGCACCAACATCCGGCACCGATCAAATAATAAACCTGACTTCGTTGCGCACCATCCAACGCATGTGACAATCAGCTCTCAACGCCATTATCTTGTGATAAATCACTTTCAAAATACCTCCCATCCAGACGTTTTTAGTATTTTCCAATAAAACTACTGATCGGACAGGAAATAAATCTCCCATCCTCCCCCGTCTAAATTAGGGGGAAGATCTATGGCTCCCCATGTAGAAGTAACAGATTCCTTTCCAAAAAGTCAATGAAAAGATTAATATCTATCACTTTAACTCAACGGAAATCCGATTTAAGATGCTCTGGCAGCTCAAACTGATTCCAACCTCATAACATCTAAGCATTTCCGTCAGAAAAAACGACCCCTGGAATTTTCGTTTTAATGAAATTAAAACATGATTTTTCCCAAAGGCTTCCACGAAGGCACGCTCCAGTGTGGGATAGAGTTGAATTCACCAATACAGGCCCCTTCAGACTCGAGCACTTCCCGATGCTTACGGAATGTACCTTTGCTGAGTGTTTGGCGTTAACGTGCATTGTGGGGAAATCAGCTTTGAAAGGATCCGAAAATTCCTACAGGCACTGCTGATGAATTGAGATATTGATTGTATTATTAACGCCATTTAAAGTAGGACGGAAAGTGAATTCCGATGGGCGTGGAAAATTTATATTTGGGACATAATAGTTTTTGAGGTTGAAAACTACCTAAGGGCATCGTGCATAGATGGAAACCAAAATCTAATTCACTAGACAATTGATTTAAACTTGGATCCGGCAAGAAAAGCCGGAGTGGGATAGCAAAGTGCTCTTTCAACGACTCGAAATGGACTTCCATTTTATTTCTGTTTTATTTCACAGTGGAAACTATTGCGCTCGTTTGCTAAATACAATCGCTTACACATCAACCAAGTTAGTGAAATATGATGGGAAATTGATTGGCACTGACGAGAATGCAGGGTTTTGTTATATCACCTGTTCAATTCTGCTGCATTTTCCTGTGGCCCTTTTCCTAACTTGTAACTTTTTTCATTCATCTAAGATTTTTTTATTTTCATAATTTTCTTGCGAAGGGGCGTGTCGAGAGTTACGGATATTTAACAATTGGTGGAGGTTTTCTTCAAGCGGCAATAAAAATTAGCCAGATACATGTGGTTCACACTGTATCCGTTTTTAATCTTGAGGATGGCAAATTGACTGCAAAGGGAGATTGCCCTTGACAGGATGTATAAAACATATGTATTCTAACTTTAGCTACATACTCCCCTGGCCTTGTAAAGGCTGAAGACATTCACAAGGTATTCACAATGTTCTGGCTTATTTCAGAGCCCTGGCAATACCTATGAATACCATTTTGAGACGATGAAACGATTCCTATGTGCTCTTAGAAACCCGAATATGCACGGAATGTACAATCAGCGGAATGTGTGCTGAATCCAGAAAAAAAGGTACTCACGCTGAAAGCTGAACCCTGTGTGTGAGCTCTACTCGCCAACAGTTGTCAAACACAAAACCCGCTCCACAAACTGCCGACTCAGAAAAACGGAGTCAAAAGAGAGTTGCCTGTCCTTCTTCACCATGAAACCTGTTCTCGTCTGGATGACGCATTTTTGGTCGGGAAAACGGCGCTAGGAAGATCGTCTGTGACAGCTGGAAAATCCTAGATGCGCTGCTGGCCTCATCAAATCGGAGTCAGGTTGGCCAAAGAAAGTGTGGGCCCTAATCTCTTTATATGCGACAACAGAGGTCGCCGCCCATGGACCGTGTTTGTGCTTCTCGTTCTGCACAAGAAAACGTAGCCAGTTATTTATGACACCGCACCTCGTTTCTTATGTCATCCCCGACGTCGGAGCTACCATGTTTGTGAATGGGTCACCTCCGGCACAAAACGTATACAAGCAGCAAATCCCTGTTGCATGAACGACTAAATCATTTCCGTGATGGAATCAACACCTCTGAATGAAGTCGACAAGCAACAACTGGCCTCCCGGTGGCGGAAACTGGCCCTTTCTTGAAAATGTAAAGTGACATCTCCATTACCAAAACATGAATTGAAGACAAATGTAATACGAACTTGGCATGTCTAAATACAGATTGACTATTACTACAGGTTCGACATAGCGACATTGCACAGTTCAGGTTTGTAGCAGGTGAATAGAAATCGGATGAAATTACAGTTTTCAATTGAGATTTTATGACTCAATTCTCTCAACGAGTATTTTCTTTACTCATGCACAGTACATTTTCAATTTGTTTAGACTATAACGAAATTATATTTCATTCAGAGATGGACTTTGCTCGGTTATTTGGAAATTAATATAAAATTCTGCGGAAAAACTGAGAAAAGCACAAATAGCCTTCCTTAAAGCCGTTTGTGTCAACTAAAACCTGGGACCGACAAGCCTTTCCAGACATTTAGTATATTATGAATTTGTTAGACGCATGTTGATAGATACCACTAGTGAAAACATTGCTGGTAGGTCATCTGCGCTTTTATCGTTTTTAATATCCTTTTTTAATACTCTTCTCAACCTGAAATCATTTCCATGAATTCCAATTTGAAATTCTACGTCGTAAACTTGGACCTTAAAAATGCCGACAATAAAACTCATGATGATTTACTGTCTCTGGAAAGTGAAAGATTTGTGATACATGCGCTCCGGTGGGCTCATTGTCTTGACTGTTCATCGGTGAGTTCTACATTGTGGTCCTTTTGTGCTCTACTTCTGGTTTTCCACGAAGAAATCACAATTTCACATCCAGAATAATCCAGACTCATCAAAATCATAATTATGCATGAGAAAAAGGCGGGGAAAGTTGAAAGCAAAATAACCATACTAACTCAGAGCAAAAGTGTGGGCGGCTTTGAACAAACAATAGTCGATGCATTATTGACCTCAATTTGTAATGCGTTTTTAAAAGTATTGCTGGTATATTTTCCTAGCAAGTATTGCAGGCAAAATGACTTTTAGGAATAGTATTTCAACTCGAATTATTACAACTCGTGAGATTTTCCGTGGTTTTAAATCTTCTATCAGAACCGAGCTACATTATGAACTTATATAATTACGGGACTTATTCTGTAACTTGTCATCTAGCAGACTTTTCATCTGTTGTTACAATTTTCCTCTTGAGTAAGTTCAAATTTAATATTTTGTGTATCGGGAATAGCCTATACTTTAGAACATCCGGCAAACATTAACGTTATCAGACCATTAGCGGCGATGAAGTGCTAACGTTAATGAGATCCTTCAAGTAATGTCCTGCTACTCAAATTACGGCACTCTTTGAAGTTTTTCATCCATAATCTAGTTGCAGAAAGAATAATGTCGATGCGGCCTTTAGGGACTGCCCTGAGCCAAAATGCTTAAGGGGAGACCGTTGCCGGATGGAGAGACATTTTCATTGGAGAGCACGAAATCGGCCTGCTACAACGGGCTCCTTTACCTCAAGAGAGAAAAAACGAACAAGAGATAGATCGTTGGGAAATAATGAACCTCGGGCGTCTGTGTTGTCTTGAGAATGTTCTCGGGAAAATGCATCAACCGTGCACCTTTCTATGTTCCGCGGCAATTTCCCCTATATCGAAAAACTTGGGATGATTATCTTTATGTGTGTATGGATTGTGTGTCTTTTTAAAACCTGTTTGGTCGATATTGTCTGGCAAATTAATGTGCTAAATTCCTCCGGGTCATTTGTTGGCACTGTTGAAGCGTTTTGAGTTGTCTCGACTATCGTCTGAGAAAAGAATAACTAGGAAAAACAAAGTCTGCTAGAATGAGCTGTTTTTGTATCTTCAAAAATAGCCCCGATCGCTTGCGAGCCCACGCACAGTGTGGGCATAATCTTTCCTCAATGCATAAACATGACATAGCGTTGGCTAATAATTATGGATTTATTAACTTTTTCCTTTTCCCACATCAACAGCGACAGATATTCAGATATCGATTATTATTTGCTTTGTAATTATTCGATGAATGAAATCCACCTGAATTCTCAGTACGTCCATTTGGCAACACGTTTTTAAAGTTATAAAACGAGCTCTACTGTAGGCACCAGCGCGAGTAAAAAAAACCAGGTAAGCAGTTTACTCAAGTTTCTCCTACCTAAACACAACCAACTCCACGCGCTTTTATAGTCGTTCCTTTTTTCTCCTTTTAAAAAATGAACTTTGCTCAATTGATTAATTAAAGCAATTAAAACGCAATTTAGGTCGAAGTCAGACTTTAAATCGATTTCAGTATTTCTGTGATTTTTATCAGAACAAAGACATAAATCGCCAAAGAACTTTGAATTTTGTCTGCCTTTAGTGCCCCTTTAAAAATCAATCTCTTATCTGCCAATGACCGAAGAATGCATTTTTTTTCTTCCTTCTCTCTGTCTGAGGTATAATAACCTCTCTCTGGAAAAGGAAATTACTTGCCTCCAGATAGAACGTCCTTTCTGTGCAGGGTCTTGGTAGGCTATAGGAAGTGGGCATCGCTATGTTTGTGCATATGACTTCAGCCGGCCCTGTTCGGGCGTGAGGAGAGATTGGATGTCTTGAATTCCCTACACGAAGGTTGTTGCTATACATCTGTGGGTCCCCGGTGTCCTCTGCAGCCTGTCTCCTTTGAGAAGAGAACAATGCGCAGGATCTTCGCAGCAAAAAAGTGCCTCGTCAGTGACGCGTCGAGAGATATGCAATTAATCTTCGCGATAAATGGGACCGGATGCACATGGCCTTGGGCATTGAGTTCAGATGAGTTCATATCAAAGTTGTGAATATGTAGTAGAATATGCCAGCAACTTTTGTTTTATTGACCGGATGATGAGACTTGAAATGCAAGAGGTTTCCTCGCATTGGGGGGGGTGAAAAGCAAACGGTAAACTCAACAGCCGCAAAGATGGGTCTTAAATTCGGTGCAATAGCAATTCGATTTTTTCTTACTAACTAATGACAGAACAGTTTTTGAAATGAACGTCCTCCTGACAAATATGGGGGCCTCTGAGTTTCTGCTTTCGCTTTAGCAAATTACGAACTGTGCGTTCTTAGCATGATCCTGTGAGTGAGCCGCCCTCTATTGGTTAAAAGTGTACATACAAATCGAATATCGACATTCCCAGTATAACCCGAAGTTTTTAAACGTAAAAATATACTGTATAAGTTGTTTTTCCTCAAGTCTGAAAAAGATGAGAAAACACAACTAGGCCCATTCTTAGTGTTACAATTTTCATCTTAATTACTTTTGGGTAACTGGCAATATGCTTGCTGATACAGGAATAATTATTGTCCTTCACTTTCCTTGGTTACAGAATATACACAGTTTACCCTTGGCAACCGTGATCGTAATTCTTGGGCATGGGGTCTATGTCACCCCCTCCCCCATTTCGACCAAGGGGATGGGCTGCTGGATGACCCCCTTACACTTTTTCGTGGTGAGAAAAAAGTAAGGCTGATTTTGGAGAACACTTCGGACTTCCAAGCAACCACAATTTCCAATAACACTCAAAAAGGGAGAACACTAATTATTTTATAAAAACTAAACCATAAATCAGTCGTTTAAATGTACATTATACATCTAAGGTGCTGCAGTGGTGTATAATAATAGATATGAACATTACCGATGTACATCTGTATGAACATCGTTCCCTAGAGTTATGGTGTCAGCGACAAC